GAACGAACGAATGAACGAACGAACGAACGAACGAATGAACAAACGGACGGATGGACGGACAGACGGACGGACGGACGGACGGACGTTGCTCGAGCAAACGTATTTTTCCTCACGAGATTAATGTATTGGTGAACAACTAACATTCAACGATGCACGGAATATGCCTTTGAGCACTTGTCTTGTATTCTCTGGAGGAGCGAGAACGCGTGGCGCGGGCGACTACGATCGGTTGCGTTAAGATTGGATCGGTGAGATAGAAAGGAGAGAGAGAGAGAGAGAGAGAGAGAGGAGGGAGAGTAATAGAGTGAGAGAGAGTGGAATTTTAGAGACATCCGGAAGAGCCTCCCGAGCGCGCGTGCACCACAATGTCTATTCTAACATGCGAGAGGACGGATACAACAATCGTGTTTCTCGTATGTTAAGTTGTCATAATAATGGCAGATAATGTACACAGAAAATCGCACAGGCCGTCAGATGGTAGTAGGAAAATACCGAATCCCGTGCACCGCACGACTACAGAGACGATTCGTTTGGGCGAGATAGACAGACATCATCACCAGCCGGTTAATCTGATCGCACCGAACAGCGTGCAAACCGCGAGTGGCAATCAGTGCAATCGGAAAAAAACGTCGTTCCAAATAACTAGCGTTACCGTGGGCTCTCATATGAGCAATGATGCTGGCGAGGATTCCAACGATGACCTGGACGAGTCGCATACGGAGGACAATTCCGTGGAGCATTCGCGCATCACCGATCTCGATATCGAGACACCGAGTTACTCCGAGGATACGTTCTCCAAGGAGGATGTATTCTTCAATACGAGCAACGCCGCCCTCAGCACGGCCCCGGTGATTCCCACCAGTTCGCAATATGGCCTGGCTATTGTACCCTCCGAAGGTGGCAATGTTAATAATTCGGTCAACGATAGCAATATCAATACTCTGGACATCACCGTTACCGACAAGAATATAATCAATTTACTGTCGAGTAATGTCAAACAGGATGCCGATCTGCGCGAAGTCCACTCGCACGGTAGAAACGAGAGGTTTAAGGTAGTTAAGATCGAGAGTACGGAGCCTTTCAAGAGAGGACGGTGGACTTGTATGGATTATCTGGATCATACGTCTGTTAATCAGCCGACAGCCATCGGTACTCCAAAAGTGTCCGATCCAAATGAGGTGTGCATATCTTATGGTGTAACCGATAGTGGAATTGTTGTACCGGAAGCTGCAAAACAATCTATAATAGTGACTGATGATAAAGGAATTAATATTGATGCCAATGGACCAGTATCGTCTCACCCGGACACAATGCATTCGTCTATCGCTGTGTCGAGTAATCCTGGCCAATCGGTACCAAGTGCAAACTACGCAGTAAATAGTTCGATACCTCCCAATGTACATAATCCTACGCAAGTTCAAACCCAGGGTAAAGTACAGCAGTCTTCTGGACAGCAAATCCCGCAATATTTTCAATCTCAGACTCCATCGATAGCTACTCAACAGCAGCAGCAGCAACAGCAACAACAACAACAACAGCAGCAGCAGCAGCAGCAGCAACAACAGCCACCGCAAGGTGGTCAAGGTTCTACATTACCTTCCAGTTTGCAGGCCACTCATCCCAACAACTTGGGGCAACCTCAGAGTATGCCTCAAGGTTCTATCCCGCTTATAACACAAACTAGCAATAATACAGTGACACCTCAGCCAAGTATATCTCACTCCAAGGAAGAGACTTATGTAACAGTGAGCACACAGAATCAATCCTTGCCAGTTCAAAACGTCTGCCAGCCGACGGTACCGCAAACGTCAGTTCCAACTTCTCAAGCTCCAAACATTCTCGTCACGCAGCATCAGTCGGAAGCAGCTTCCTGTCAATCCTTGCAGACACAGACACCACAGATAACACAGATTTCAGAGTCATTGACTGCCATACAGGGAATACAGGGCATGCAAAATATTCATAAGGTTCCTCAGACAGCTGGAACGTCGCAGCAAACGTCATCGACGATCCATTCTTCTGGAGCACCTGTACAATCGCAAGTGATTGCACCTTCGACGCAGCAGATGCAACCGCAAACGTCCAATAGTAATGCTCCAGTTCAGATTACACAAGTAACGGCTGGATGTCAGAATGTTGTGGGTGGCCTGCAACAGGGAAACATTGCGTTTCATCAGTCGGATCCAGAGCAAGAATCCATCTCTGGCATTGTTACTAATACCGTTACTGTTCAATCGGCTGATGCGACTCTCTTAGAATCGTCATTGGCTGAAGTTACACAGGGCAGCGATGAACATCGTACTCTCGAAGATAACGAAAGGTACCTCACAGACAGATGGTAATAGAGTCGAAATTTACAAAATATGTATGTGTAATATAAAAATGAATAATTTACGACGACACATAATATACATGTAATATATACTATTTATAGTATACGCCTCTTGGGATCGTGTAACATTATCATTTATATGCAACTCTATATACGAAGAAATTTACTTAAATAAATCTATATTGCAGTATGTCGGGAACGAGCGCTGTAGCAATCGATAATAAGATCGAGCAGGCTATGGTAAGAAATTACCATGCACCGCTGTAATAAAAACACTTATCGCTCGTTAACTTGATGAGTAATAACGTTGAAATATGCTGTAATCTTTTCTAGGATTTGGTCAAAAGTCATTTAATGTTTGCCGTACGAGAAGAAGTCGAGGTATTGAAAGAGAAGATAGCTGAACTTATGGATCGTATCAATCAATTGGAAGCAGAAAATTCGATATTAAAAGCACACGCGACTCCAGAAACTTTGACTCAATTGAGTCAGTCAACAGCAAAATTACCCCAAAACAGTTCAGGAAGTGGTCAATAGGTAACCATTGTATATAAATTTCTATCGATATTTTGTTAAGTAAATAATGGATAATATAATTATTGTATATAACTTTACGATTTCTAGAAATTTATAAATAATGAGATTATATATAAATATATATTAGCATTAGACATTTTTTAAGTAAACTAAAGATAATGGATTATTTTTTACTATTTCAGTTTACCATTTAGGAAATATATTTAAAACCGTGAATTTGAATTTTTTTTCTTTCAAAATGATTTATCATTTTGAAAATGTCTGATTCTACACAGACTCTAGATTATTTATCGAGGGTGCATACCAAGATTAAACAGCGTTAATGTGATAAAGTTGACATTATGTTTTATATTAAACACATTTTCAATATTATAAAATAATTAAATTAACAAAAAGGATAATAGTATGGCAGGATAGGCAGCTGACATTCCTAAATTACTTTTCTCATTATTTTAATATCTAATTAATTTAAAGATTTGATCAGATGTAATTTAGCATAATTGGCAAAATGATTAAAGAATTAATGTTATTTAATTTAACACATTTTGGAGATGTTATGATATTTTAATTTTTAATAATTTTTAGAAAATTTTTCAGCCTTTATTGATGGCGAATTTTGCCAACATTTATCATTTTCTATCTCATATTTTATAATCTATATATAGACTGATTTTTAAAATTACACACACACACACACACACATACGCGCGCGCGCGCGCGTACATACACTCATACATACATATATTTGTAATCTACATTAACAAATCAGTAATCAAGAAACACATATTGGTGTGCATGAAGAAAACCTGCAATTTCCTGTCATCCTATGTTACATCTCACATGCCTAATAAAAATTTTTAATTGTATCTATAAAATGTGAAAATTTTTAAGATTTTAATAATTTTTAAGACAGAAGCATACATATGTCTTAAATGTTATGTATAGAGATACAATTAAAATTATATGAATGAATTTAATCAAGCCATTGTCAAATCTACTTGATGATAGATCATATAAAAAGTAAAATCTAAAATAGACAAGTAAAGTTTTACAATGTATGCTTTTAAAAATTTTATTTGTCGTTATAGAGAAAAAAGAAAGAAAGAGATGAAAAGAGAAGCAGGGAGGGGGAGATGGAAAAAAGAGAGGATTAAATGTGACGTTTTATATAACATAAAGCTTTACAAAGATCAAAAATTTTTTTCAGGAACAAGAAAATCATAATCCATAATTACATCTTATAAATTTATAAATGTTAAAAATTTTTTTCTAAAGGAAAAAAAAAATAACAACATACAATTTCGGATTTTGTATTATCAATGTGACTCAGTCTTGTATATGTACAAGCACAGTCACAAAATTAAGTTCATACAAACCCGAAATTCTTTGATTTAATAGCGAGAAGTAGTTTGTGTCGCAAAACATGACGGGAGCTGTACAGTGGAACGTATAGTCGGGAAATACATGTATTTGCAGTTGGTAGATGCGCGTCATCCGCCGGCCGAATTGTCACGGTCGGCATCGGTTGAAAACCATCTTCGCTTGCTGGTAGCGCAGGAGAGCCAGTCCAGAAATATACCTATATGGACGTTAAGCGTTAATTCGACAGAATTGACTCAACAACTTAAACGTTTCCGAGCATAAAGCTAAGTGATTTACACAGAACTCTTACCAAATCTTGCCTTTCCACGTGTGACATTTTCTCAACGATAGACCATAACCAGCGCTTAAATTTGACCAATCTCTCTGTCGATTCACCAGATTCATCGTTAAATGACGTATATGATATTAAAACTGATACGTTGATATCACCAACTCCATTTAGAAGAAGTCTCAAGTCTTCCGAAGTTAAACCATCGAGCGCTCCTTCTGGGAGGACATCGAAAACTCCTTCGCGCATAGAATGCAAAGCTTTTTCTTGCACTTTGATCATACGAATTTCTGCATATTTACGTACATAATCATATACGTTACTCGCAGTCACTTCCACATCACGACCGTTAGGTACAAGTTCAATTGAACCACCTCCTTCTTCAGGACATAAATCAATACTGAAATGCGAAATATACCTGATAAATTTAAATTTAAAATTATGGTGAATATAAAGTAAGAAAAAAACATCAAAATCTCTAAATATTTTGAAAATGAAGCATTTGGAAAAGAAATTTTTATAAAAGTTTCATGTAGGAAATAAATATAATATTTATAACAAATTTTTTTACAAAGAGAAGGTATGCGTTTCATAATGTAATATCATCATATTTTTTTTAAATGGAACTATAATATTTTTTATCTTCTATTCTTATTAGTTATTTTATGTACAAAAATATTAAAATATAAGCTTTGAAATATGAGATAAAAGATTTGAGATATTTTAAATCTTATTTTGATATATTTAGATACAAAATATCTCGTAAAATATTTATTTTCTTATATGATTTTATATAGAATAATGTAATATAATTAATGCTATCTTTAATATTTTCATAATTAAGAAAAAAATTTGATTTAGTGACGATTAAGTTAGTGATCCACGATATATGAAAAATCATTATATAGCAATATTTGTTTTCTAGAGTTTGTTTTATTGCTTCCAAGATCTCATTGTCAGTTATTTTTGTTTTTTAAAAAACTTATAAACTCTATATAAATTTTTTTATATGTTGATTCGTAATACATAATTATATATGTTGTTTAATGTGATTATACATTTTATATATGAAAATTAATCTAATTCTAACAAATCAAATTTTATAGATATATTAAATAAAATTGAAAATAAATATTTTACAAGATTTTCCATATTTTTTTACATTAAAATAATGTAACATATCTCATAAACTATTGATTTTTTGAAAACTTTATCTTAACATTCTTATGTAAGAATGTAGAATATTGAAAAAAAATCAATTTTTGTGTAAGAAAATTTAGCTATAAACAATTTCTATAAAGAAGAGAACCGATATGGTTTATAGATTTTAAAAGTGATTCCATTTAAACAGTAAGTATAACAATCAAGATGATAATTCCCATCTAACGTACTACTACGTAACTTTAGTTGGATAAATTTATATTTTTTCACGATTTAATGTATAACACATTGCACACACTTATAAACATTTTTTTAAGATATGAAGAAAAAAAGACAAAACAAATGAGAAGTTGTACCTGAATGTAAGATCCAACGCAGAGAATAAACTGTTACTATCTTTCGTTTCAGCATCGATAACCAATTGTCGCAAGCTCTCGTAAATAACGGAATCAAAAAATGCAAGGTCGTGAAAACGTATAGGCCTTCCTAGTATATATTTGATTACATGGCGGTTCAAAAATAGCGGACAAAGCTCGTTTTGTAAAAGACATAGTCCTATGAGTCTGAGAATAATATAAGCAAATTTAGAGTTTAATTTTTATAAGTATTACAAACGAGAAATACCAATAGTATCGTGATAGAATGAGTTAGTTCAAACTCACCTGCCTACATTTCTGAATGCATTTAACCGTTCGTAGCTACCTCTACCTTGTCTCGGTGTATAAAAACCGCGTTTACCAGGAGAATAGAAAAGTGGAGCGTTGTCCTCTGTATCGTCTAAAATGCTGTTTTCCATTTTTTTCTTGCTTACTGCGCAGCGTTCGGTTAAGCTAAATACATCGAGATCTAACATTTCGCTAGTCAAATCTTGAGTATGACTGTGAATCAATTCAAACGCTTCGTCTACTTTCTGTCGAAGAGCGTCTTCCGAAGCCAGTAACATCAGTAACTGAGCTGGTGACAATTCTAGCAACATGCCAGTTATTTTCTCAGCCAACGCTGGTCGTAAAGCATGTACCTACAATAAACAAATAATCATTATTACACACAGAAAAGACATACAAAAATTGAAAATAAATTTTTAATTTTACTCTTCATAAAATACGAATAAAACGAAATATTTTTGACATGTATAAGTGTCAGTCCACAATAGGTGATTTAAGCTTTAAGAAGTAAGAAATTGACCAATTATAACCGAATATGAAAAGAATAATCTACTATGATTGGTCAATTTCTTACGACTTAAAGATTAAATACTTATTGTGGACCGACACTAATATATCAAACCTTAGGATACAATCTGTCGCCAAGTTGCTGTTGATGCAAAGACAAATGGTCGTTAGGCGAATGGTTAATTGGCAAGGGATGAGTACTAGATGAACTTCCAGGTGCTGAACTATTATTCCCTTCAATCGTATTTGAGGGATGAAAAGAGCGAGCATCGAAGGATAAAGGACGACGCGTCTCACGACATTTTCCAGAAGAACGTGTATTCTAAAAAGAAAAAATATACAATGAGAAATTAGTAGCCAATTTCAAATTGATTTATATAATATACCTGTCGTCTAAGATCACGGTCACGATCTCTACTTTTCAGTTTTTGTAGAACATTATATTGCGTATATTTTGATCCCACTTGTGCTGCTTCAAGATTCGGGAGTTTCTCATTTGCTAGCAATGCCTAATAATAATAATAATGATAAATAATGATGATGATGATGATGATGATAATAGTAATAGCAATAAAAACAGTAATGATACAGTAATATTAAAATAGCATAAACGTTTTACAAATAAATCAACTTGCTTATTTTATATTTTGATTTTTACATACTTCAGCAATTGCAGTATAAAAGCTTCGAGTAACACCAGCTCCTTCACCAGGTTCATCTTTGAAAAAAACTTTAACCCGATTCACTGCCAAGGGTGGAGTGTTTGAAGCTCTTCTATTATATATATTATACTGTGTATTTAATTCCTTCATCGTCTGTACTAGTAACTGTGTTCTATCTCGTTCCACCTATCGATGGATTGCATGAATTAATAACATGTATCTAAAGTTTATTATACATTTATTATCTTCATGGATGTTTAATATATAACATATAATTCATCATATTAAATAATCATATTATACATGTGTTCATATATTATATATGAACACATGTATAATATGATATATATACCTATGTTATATATTACCTTTATGGTGATATCTTTTTGTTGGGAATTTCTAAGTTTTTCCATGTCTCGGCGAAATTTAGCTTCCTTCACAGGAAATCCTCCTAACTCGGACACTACTGATCCAGCTTCTAAACCTACATCTTCCATAAAAACCCGTCCAAACAGGTCCAATGATAATCGCCATCGTCCTAATAAAATGTTATGAGAGATATTCGTTCCAATCGATGATACTGCTCTGGCAGATTCTACTGGACTTGTTTCAACGGTTTCATGAGCGGATATCTCATGGCTTGTGACGGCTGGGTCAACTTCCTCGGATACATTTTGGCTTTCAACAGTTGGAATGACTAATATTTCAGGCGCACCAGTCTTATTCGTGTTTGATTCCTTCAGAAAAATTGCGAAACAATATTGAATATAAATCTACATTTACTCACTATACTCAAAATATTGTGACGCTTACCGAAACTGTTCCAGCTCTAACTATAACGCTCCTATTATTTTTGCATATATCTTTGCCTTTAGTACTCGAGGCATCACTTTGATTATTTGTAGATACTATAATCGGTGCTCTATCGATGATTTGTTCCGTTACAAGAGAAGAGTATCCTTCGTTAACATTAGACGGCTTTAATTTTTCCTGAAAATTTACAAGGTATACAAATTAACAAAATTTATTACTTGTGCACTGTTGTACTATTAATGAGATATTGCTTATGAACAATTCTTAATAAAAATATATTTTGATATAATAGAAAAAAATATTACCATATATTTGATAGAATTTAGATCAGTTGAAACGGAATTTCTTCTCGATTCTAGATTAGAATTAGAAAGTGGTCCTTGTACAACTTGACTGAATGTTGGAGTCGTCAAGTTTTTTTGACCATCCATACCTCGCGTAGAGAGACCTAATCTTGTTGGTAAACCTTCCAAAGGGTTTTGACTAGATCCACTTGTAATAGAATAAGTTGGTTGTCTTGGTATACCAAATAGATCTTCGCGTCTTGAGTGCGGCTGCAATAAATGTGGTTGATCAGCTAATGGTAACGCTTCACTCATTACGGTGTCGAATGGATCTAGAGGCGGGCAACCAAGGCACAAAGTAGAATCTGATCTTTGTAGGAAAGGATGTTTCCTTCCTTTCGGTATCGAATTGCCATTATTTCCAGATCCACATATGGGTATCTGAAGTAAATCCGGATAATCTACGGAATCAGTTTCCATAGCAGTTGGTGCTGGCGAATTATATTCCTCGCTTTCGTCATTATCATTCTCATCCTATGAGTAAAATTTTTATGTCAAGAATTGAAACTAACATAATGTTGACTCTTTTTCATTTTTAATGCTCTTAATATGCAAAAAAGGATCTTCCAATCATTTTAATTGTATGATCTTACACATGCACGCGTGCGTACGCAAATACTGTCAATAAAAAATTTTGATAAATATCTTTCTAGGAGGTTCCGTTTTTCTAGATATTTACCGAAATTTTTATATCAAAGCTAAAACTCTACTTCGAAATATAAATCGTCAATTTTAATTTCTATTTTGTGATGTTGTGTGATGTCTATAGAAAAGCGTATATATTCAAATAGAATAATTAAATTTTATAAACCTGATCGTTCCAACTGGAATAACTGGATGATTCTTTTTGAGTGTCGCCTCTGGAAGCGAGTGGTTCCGAAAGAGAACGCATGTAATATACAAGTGCATCGAATACATAAGCAACATGTCTTAAAGCAGAAACATCCAAAACTGGCAAACTATCCCTATGCTCGCTATTGTGGGCGCGCATTAAAGATAGACAGTATGACAAGAATTCACGTCTCGCCGAGTGTGCATCGCTACCTGAAACACATTGATAATTCTTTTTGTAGTAATCAAAAAAGTTTTGACCGATTCATTGTGCTTATTAAAAAAAAACCACATAGATATGTCTGCACTTTAAAATAATATGTTATGGTACAAATTACATATTATTTTAGAACACACTAAAAACATCGCGATATCCAATGTAAAAATATAATAATAGAAAATAAGAATTTTTATGATATAATAGAATTATAAACCTTCACGCTCTCTACTGCTCCTTGGAGGCTCGCCAACGCCTGCAAAACCAACGGTGAGTCGCGTTGAAGCTTGAGGAGCGGAGATATTCGAGCTCGTAGTAATACCACTACGAGGATTCCGACTTGTATTTCCTTGTAGAGTCAGCGAAAGAGCGGCTGTATTTAATAGACCACTAAAATTACCGCCTGAAAGAGACGGAGCATTATTGAGTGGATGTTCAGGATGAGTCGGATCCGCGCTACGCGTCAGAGATACTCCAAATCTCAATTGTGCTTCTGTAGCGTCCATTACGGTGAGCAACCAATCCCAAGTGGGCTTCAAATGCGCTTCTAAATACGACTGTGACAGAAATAATTCTCTTTGTAAAAGGGCAATCGTATGTATAACAAAATTTGCATTGAAAGTTTGTATACCTGCAAATTTAGAGCATCTTGAAAAGTGATCTCCATCAAACGTGGTAAGGCAGGTGCTAAATTCTTATAATCTTGCACCATGACCAATAAATCAGCAATCTGTCGAATGACGATTCCGAATGCTCGTGCCAAGCAACTAGCAGTAGTTCCCATAGTTATAGGTTCCTGAGCAGTTGCGACGGCCGACGTGGCAGTAGTACGTCTCAAAGATGCGGGATCGATAAACACCAGATTACTTCCACCCGTTACTCGTAATCCCGCCGTACGCGTATTCGATTCACGATTACGTATTGCCCATTGCATATATACGGGCGCGAGATTATTACGATGCAAATGGCCAGAGGACCCACTAAAATCAATGTGTAAACAATATTACATTTCTGAATATCTTGCATCTAAGAAATGAAAAGTAGCTCATCTTTATTGTATTAGTGATATAATGAGTGGAAAAAAAATAACACTCAATGACATGATTGAAAAAATAGAGAAATAATTTACCTTCTGCGCTCCAATTGTTCATCGCCGATTTGGAATTCTTCGTTATCTTGTTCATCCGTTTCCCCTGCTTCGCTTTCATCGTCTTCTTGTTGGCTTGATTCTCCAGATTCGTCTTCAGGAAATAATAATATTGATCCCATTCCACCGTCAGATCCTGCAGTCGCACCCGTCTGCACACTACGTTGCGCTGATGCTGCATCTTGATTACTATGATTATCATCCGAATCGGATTCAGTTTCAGCTTCTGCCAAAAGATCCAATTCTGTATCAGATTCACCATCTCCCGTTTGCTCTTCACCTACTCCACCGGCATTCGAGTCAACTTCGCCGAGTGGTTGTCCGGTGGCAGTTCCAGAAACTCCCGATTCTTCGTGTTCACTAATATCGCCATCCATATCCATAGGTACTTCTAGATAAGCGATTAGAAATTTTTATGTAGTAGAAAATAGTGCTATATATATTGTGTAAATTAGTTTATTTAAAAAATTCAAACTGTAACACATTTCTCTGTACCTTCTCCACCTTCTGTTTCATCTACAGCAGAGACGTCCCCTCTTGATAATGTTATATTATTATTTCCTTGTTGCGTTTGCAGTGCTGCATCCAATGTCTGCGAACTTACGCCACTGTGAGGTATTAGAGGCTCTATAGAAAATAATTCTTCCGAGCCGTTGATTACTTCAATGGCAGAACTCGTTAGTGTGAATGGCGCAGTTGGACGTGCTACGCCTAATCTGACTGGTGCTATCAATGAATCTGCCGTTTCGCATAATTCTTCTACAGCTAATTTGATTAATGCTTGGAAAACTTTTCGACATTTCATTAAAGGCTGTGAGGCTTGGCTTGTGCTAAAAATAAAAAAATTAAGATTTTATTTTCTTAATATACCTCCATACTAATATAAATCAATTCGAATATTTTAATTTTTATTTTAAAAAAGCTTGGGAATTATATATATATAATTTAGACTTTGAAATAATATAAACAAGATATATTGCATAAAGTATTATAACATATTTTTTTCAAAGTTTTTAAAGATATAATAATTGTACTAATAATTGTACTAATAATTGTACTAAAAGATATAATAATTGTAACAATAATTATACTAAAAAAATAAAAATAAAAAATAGTCTCTTTTGCTCTTTTTTGAAGAGCAGTAATACAACTTATCATTTAAAAGTCTCAAGATTTATAAAAAAAATGCCAAAAGAATTTCTCATTACTTTCAATAGTTTTGAAGAAAATATCTCATAATATTTTGTGATATATATCGTTCTTGCATATACGCATATAAATATATCGAACATGTGCGCATGCATAAATATACCCAAACCTTTTACCTTCGCCTTTTAGTTGTATTTGGTGCCATTTCTATAGTGAAAATAACGAATATGCGTGCCACAGATCTCACGAATCGGCGCGCTACATTATTCGCTTCTTCTTGTCGTCCAGGTACAGACTCATCTTGCAATTCCCTGATCAAAGTGGTGAGCAATGTATCGAGCATCTGTTAAAATCACAAAATTTGTTAGCATTTAATTTATATAAACAAAAAGGAAAAATTATATATTTGCATTATTTGATTATATATTCGGTTATATCACTTACTTCGGCACTACATTTAACAAGTAAGGAATGTGTAAATTTGTCTAATAATGCAGTGCCACTTTGTCGACACAACTGCCCTTGATCACCAAATAATTGATCAGTACCGTTCTCAGAAACGCCTGACATAATCATACATTGAACGGCTGGCCAATCATTCAATAATCTTTCGAGCGCTTTCCGACTAAATCGAGGAGGTTCTAAATCATGATCTGGCATGTCTGAATCTGCACTCAAACCTGCGACACAAATTATACTTTCAATTTCATGATTATGTCAGCCATATATAAGTAGAATAATCTAAAGATATATCATTGTTGCATAATAGGGATTTAGATAAAGAAAAATATTTGTATAAAATTTTAGATTTTCATCATTAAGATATAAAAAGATTATAGAGAATATACCATCTGATGAAGGTGCTTTACGACTAGCCGAAGTTGATCGTTGTCTAGGTGCTGATCTAAATTGACGTTGTTCAACTAATTGCCTTCCAACCGTTTGCACCAAAAATAACAAGATGCTTTCACCTCTGAAAAAGATATGTATAAAATAGATGTTATTCAAACAGAATTATGCATTTTCCAAATGCGCGCGCGCGCGCGCGTGTGTGTGTATGGGAGTGTGTAGCATATTTGTAAAATTTACCGTGAATTAATTTTTGTAGCGAGGTCGGTACTGTTTACAAGACGACATAGCAAGTCGTATCTCGCCCCTTGATGTCCGGCAATGAGAGCACGACATTTACATTTTTCCCAACAGTCACAGTATGCTGTAGGCGAAGTTCTTTTAAGCTTACAATCATGGCCTCTGTGACAAACACGAGCGCATTCAGTGCAGCAGCATAAAGACCCCGTTAAACCGCATGTTCTGCATTCGAAAATATCCTTAAAAAAATTTAATTTGATAAAGATTTCTGCATATAATATCTTTATGGAAATGTCTTAGTGGAAATATATAAATATTCGTTACTTGATTAATATGCTCTGCTCCAGTCCATGTAAAACTACATGTATCATTGCAACAAGTAACAAACAATGGAGATAAATCTGGGCTGGCATCAATTGGTAATATCATGGCTGAAGTATCTTTTGCATCTTTGCCTACTCTTTGAATAGTATCCAATAAAATAAGAGCTGCATGATACGCACGTACCGATACAGCAAGCATGAGTGGAGTTTGCCCTTGAGCATCCCTTTTTATACAAAAAAGATATAAAATATTAATATGAAAGAAGATAGTTAAATAATGTTAAAGAATTTTAATATATTAATAAATATATTCGTTCTTTAAAACAAATCTTCTTTTTTTAGAATTGTATTCAAGTTTTAATCATACTTTGCTGTTAATAATTCTTTTAAGTGTGGCGCCAAGATGTTATTTTCACACATATATTTTAATATAAGTAATGCATTATGTCGCCTTTCAACGGAATCTATAATATATGTATTATTAGAAGCAGGTCCAACAGCTGAAATAATAAAAAAGAAATCAAACATATTCATTTTACATGTATATAATAGCAAAATCAAATTTGCAACATGAGTGCAATTTGGTAACATGAGAATGCAAACAGACGTTACTTACCAGACTTATTCATCATAGATATACTAGCAGCACCTATGCTCAATAAACTGTCCTCTTCTCCTGATGTATTATCAAATGCTTCCGGAGGCCAACTTAATGTCGGAATTGGCTCTTCAATAGGTGCGGAGGTACCATCTACCGTATTTGATACTAATTCACGTTCAATAACTTTGATAAAACAAATTAAATATAAAATGTTAATGAAACATAATATATTAAGATGAAATATATATATCTTTGAAATAAAACTGCCAAAGTATATTATCAAATATATAGGATATAAAACGTACTAGGACAGTGAAATACCTCAAAAATTAAGCGTTTTAGGAAAAAGCATTATTCAGATAAAAGTTGTAGAGTTTCAAAAGATCTATATTTACTGATGTTATAAGTTTGAGCTTATGTGATGTCTACACCCTATATATACTACCAAATATATTACCTTGTTCAGTTTCCTTATTAGATGTTGGCGAACACATGTTAACACAAGCATGAAGTATATTTCGATTGCCATCGCATCGTTCCTTTAATATCATTTGAATTTGTGAATTAGCGCTTGAATATGTTAAATTGTTTTCTGTATGACAAAAAAATATGTTATATATTGCATATATATCTTTATGAAATCAATTATGCACAATATAGAAAATAAAATAATAATTATATATTTATATGCAAACTTACTTAGATCTTGTTCCAAATTACAAAATATTTGCTTTACACTCTCATAATCACATCGCAATATACGCGGCATAAGTAAAAGATTGTCAAATGCTAATGCGATAACAGCGACTTGATTTTTTAGATTGATCGAATTAGAGCTAGAAATGGGAATAGTTGCCGCGCCAATGCAATTTACCGGAACCAGATCCAACCAGTTTGGATCGCGTATGGCATCAGCACAATCTTTTGCGATTGGATAAATGGTATTATTACCATCGCGTAAAATCATGGAACATTCAATATTCTAAAATATCAAAGAAAAAATCAAGTTTTTTCAGACTTACATTCATCTAATTTCTAAAATTATTATCAATATAACATACTTCTCCTGCACTTGTAAGATTAATATTTTGTGGTTGCAATCCCAAAAATGATGAAATATCAGATGGAATATAACAATCTTGAACATATCTTCCTGTACTTAGATTATATACAACATAACTTAATTTATTTCCACTTTTCAATATGGCATGAATACCTGTAAATATATTTAAATATATTTAAATATTTTTTTATTGATTAATAACAATATATTTTCCATTGAATTTTATTTAATAATATAGACAATCAAAAAAAATCGCGGCGTATGCATGTGTATAATTGGGCAAGTAACTCCCCCATGAATTTAAATTAATAAATTCATTAAATTCATAAAAAAATAGGTGTCTGAGATCTTGCTCTTGTGTGTGTGTGTGTGTGTGTGTATATGCCATAATTTTTTCGATTCTATAACAAACATGATCTAGCTTTTACACACGCGCACGCACGCGCGCGTCCTATACACATATTCGTTTAATTTATTTATATTTTTGAAATAACAACTTATATCGAAATGTAAAATATTGTTTTTTGAAAATACCTTGTCCGTCAGTAGATATAGTTAATAAACTATCATTTGAACTCTCCACTATGTTGACTCTTCTAGGCGTTCTCTGAAAGCAATCCGGAGCTCGTGGATTTAACGATGATTTAATTACCTATAAATATGCAAATCATATCTTAACATTTAATCATATATTACTTATATATAATACTTACAAAGTCATTACCTGTAATTCATCTTTACGTAAAAGTCTACAGTCCGCTAATAATTTCATTGGTTCTTCTGCTGTAAAATCTTTGAAATCGGATGTACTAAAATCCTTCTCTTTAATTTCTTTTTCTTTTTCTTTGGAAAAAAATTTGACTGCGACATAGCAACCATCAACTTTTATAACTTTCCCTATTGAAAAAAATTATTAACACAATGTTTTACATAATTTAATTTTTTTCTATTCTCTTTTTTCTCACTCTAAAGTATAATTTTTAAATACAAATAATTATTATACCAATAGGTACAGTCTTGACATCCTCAATAAAAACAACATCTTTTAATTGCCAATCTTCTTCATCCTTTCTGTCGGATTCACCTTCATTTCGGGGTGCCATACGTTTTGCACGTTCTAAAATATATTAAATTATATATTTAATTATATTCTTCTTTTTATAAATCTTTATTTTTAAATAACGATACCTCTGTATCAAAGATATGTCAATAAATTCTTTATATTCAGTGGTATATATCTTACTATGACTTGTTGTAATACTGCCAGTATCACTACAAGTACTCGAAGCTGGAGATGGCGGAGGCGGCATATCAAGTCTATCAGCTGTTTCTTTGTGATTCGGTTTATTCACAACTCCTGTAGTTCCATTTCCATTAGATTCGCGTTTATCAGTATTGGTATTAGATACATGTGTACCAGCAGGTAATATCTTAAATCTGCAAGTAGCATCAACGTTCCATGCTGCAGATAGCAATTGCCCCACTTTTGGTACACCATTAGCAATCGTAAATCCTTAAAAATAAATTATATATGTTCAAAATTGTATAAATTATTTTTAAACTATAAATAATAATGATCAATTTATAAGATGCATAGGCGTTTTACCAATAGCTCCTGGTTGGTAAACCGGACTATTTTTCATGCATACATGTGTTCCATAACTAATGTCACTTGATAATACAGTAGATGGCCTATGTTTGCGTGATTTAGCTTTATATTTCTCCCATAATTTCTTTCGCTGTGCAAAGGGTAAAACACCCCTAAAAAATATACATATTAAAAATTTTAATGTATATACAAGTTTATCAATTGCAAAAGAAAATTTTTATAAAGAAATATAGATTATAAAGAATATAGATTATACCACCAATATAATGTTCCACTTTCAAGTCTTGCAACAGTATATAAAGCACATGTATGAAGTGATATAATTTTATCCAATGTGAATTCAGTAAACGCTTGTGCTGGATGCTCAAGACGGGAAGCTACATGTCCTAAAAGCTCATCAAGCCAAGTTGCTACTTTTCCACTTTCTGTACTAACGGAACATCGAATTGCTGTAGCAGATATATTGACTATCTTTTCTGATATTAATGCCAAAGAAATGGTTTTTGGATGGTGCACATTTGGATTCTATAGAAAAAATTATATATTACAAAAATATATGTAATAAATATATATGTAATGGTAATGTCACATTTATATAAGTACTTCTGCATTTTTATATGGTTCCGATTCTGTCCATTTCCATTGATATAATTGTCCCGATATAGAAATAGCAATTAATTCACTGTAAAGCGATGCGATTTGTACAAAACGAGGCACTGGATCGTTACTGCGATCGTGCCACCATTCTAATTCTTCGGATATCCATAGTGGACTCTGAGAAGCCAATTCCTTTTTTTATTATCTAAAATTGAAGCAAATTAAAAATTACAATTCTATAATGCAATAAAACCCATTTAACTTTTATGTATAAATTACCTGAATCTTTTTCCCATGAATCTTTAAGAGCGGTCTCCAACCAACGACGTGGTCCATAATATTGACGATCTCGCCATCTGCTAAAACTGTCACGATCTCGATCTCTTTCATGAGATGAACGCTCATTTTCTCTATCATTACCTAAACGGCGCGAAGAACTTCCGCGACTAAAAATATTTTTTTCTTTTAAGGAGGATATATAATTTTCATTTTTAATTATATATTTATTATAATATGTACGAATGATCATATAACTTGTAAAGAATGTACAATTTCACAAGCTTTTAATATTCATTAAACTCAATAAAAAATGCTTAAAATAGATCTATAAATTATTTTAGGGTAAGTTTCTATTTTGTGAATTTATCAATTATCTGTCTAATTATAGTTCATCATATATTGGATATCTTTATGCTATTAACTTTTTTTCTAAAAATGTCTAATTTATATTCAACTTTTCCAATCGTTGTTATAAATTAAAATATAAATATAAATATTTTACAAAAAGTTTGAAGAATTTATATTTTAGATTATTATTATTTATAGTATATAGTATATATTATTTGAGACTGATCAATGAATTAAGTAATTATTTTTGATCTAAAATCTTCCTTATATACATACATATATAAAATTCAAATATATATGTATATATATATATATATATACATACATACATATAAAATTCAATTATATATATATATATATATATAATTTCTAAATACTTTAAAATACTCAAACAGGAAGTAATATTTTTTCTTTTAAGAATCGAAAAAAAGATAATTACTTAATTTTACATTATATCTCTCTCTAATAAATAACTTAAATTATTGAAACCAAAAATATTTGTTTCACTAATTCTTCAAATAAATTAATTTTTAGATTAATTACTCAAGTATCTTTTATATAATTTAGCAAATATTACAAGTTTGCTATGTTTCAAATTATTTTTTTTAAAAAACTCTAAAAACTATTTGCTTTTTTTTTCTAATAAAATATATAAAAAATTAATTACTGCCTTATTCCAGTGTATCCAAATACATCTTCGGAGAACATAGAGTCAGCATCAATTATAACTGAATGTTCATTACTAAAGCCACCATCTAATAATGATATAAGATCTTCTGGGACATAACTATCTGCTGCATCCTCTGCATCGTCACCTTCTTCATCTTCTCGTGACAAAAGATTGTTTACTGCTAAGTTTACATCTAGATTTGTACGCTACAATATCACAATTATTTTACAAAATTGTATACTTTTTTGTTAAGTACATATTCATATTCATCTTCTTATCAATAATATTAATATTGATTAATCAATAATATTAATATTGATACCTGTAATTCTCTGATAATAAGGTTACGACTTTTTCCCTGCAATACAACTTGTGCCTGAGATATAAGATCTTCTGGTACAAATGGTGCTGGCACAGAAGCAATAGGACGAGAACTACTACCGCTTCCTCCTCCCATAATAACTCCAGGTGGCCCTATACGGCCACCACTGCTGCTTCCTCCACCACTATTACCTCCACGTATCGCAGAACTGTTTCGCATAATCCGGGCGCGTGACCGTGACATTCCTGTTCTACTACCACTTCCGCTACTCCCATTTCCATTCGGTGCAGAATTAGAGTTTCCAACATGATTTTTATTTGTACTATAAAACAAATAATTTTATTATTAAATTGTTTCACATGTTTTTTTTACTTTTTTTCTTTCTCTACTCACTTTCTGTTAGGTTCATTTTTACTCAAATCCAATCTATCTGGTAATACTGTAAATGCAACTCTAGCTATTCTATTGTCCTCTGTAAGAAGAGCGATATGTGTTGGTCCAACTACGATGCGCTTTATTATTGTTTTGAGAGAATTAAAAGCTGGCGGTGTTATATATCCATATCT